TGATAGGCCCAGAGAAAAAACGGAATAAATTTTGGATTGTAACTTCTAGAAATCAGAACATACTCGTATGTACAAAAAAAAAAAAAAAAAAAAAAAAAACACATCGCAGGTAACATTGTTTGTCGTAACCCTGTGCAGTTCGCCGTGTCACCGCAACCGGAGTCGCCCAGACCTTCTAGAATTCTAGAAAAGTCCCGCCGAAGGACTTAAGATTTCTGCCTACCCACACGATCGCCACAGTGTCGGCCACCGTGCTTGGACATTGTATAGTTAGTCGTAATTCTCAATATCAAAATATGATCTGACACCCCTGAGTTCCACAGTAGAATCAGAATTTTCAAGAGATCCGAGTGTCGCCACCTTTGTATCTGCCCATTTGCAGCATGCACGCCGAGCCTTCGTAGGGTCGTGGGACAGACGCTTATCGCGATGATTTGCATTGTACATCCTAATTGTTCCGCACATCGCGAGATTCCGGTATACGGAGTACGGACGAGTAAACGTTGGACACCTTTCAGGCTTCAGGCTTCAGGCTTCAGGCTGAGTACAAAATCGGGGCCGAGTCAAACCGAGGCCAAGAGACCAAGACCGGAGGATCTGTTCGGGGGCCGGAGACGGATCCACTTCTCTCACCGAGTGATAAGAGTCAGGTGCGCGATTATTATTATCAATATTGAGTTACTACGGTGTACGAGGAGGCGAGAATACTCTGGGCTTATACAGTTAATTGAGAACTATTTACATTATAGAAGAAATCTGGACTAATCTGCAGGATCATAAGGTTCCCGCTGGACATGGTTCTGAGAAGCTTGGTTCGCCTGTTAGGGTTTGGACTGACAGTTCATCAATAGGAGAGAACGGATTATACGGAGTATGCTTCCATCTAGTACGGAGTATACGAGTAGAATAATGGCTCAATTGGAATACGATCTCTAAGTCTCTTCAAATCAATTTTACTAATGCTACCAGCCCATCTGGCCACCGTTATAGCAGTCGAGTCCAGAACCCAACGTTGTATCGCCTCACGGTCAGATCGCACGCATAAACAGATCGCCCCTGGATATTTTTATTTCATGCAACTAGCAAATTCAATCGCAAGCACAGACCTGCCAATACGACTGTCAAATGTCAAATGTGGGAATGGAGACACATTCCAGCGACCGCACAGCGATATGGAGTACTACCGCACAGCTGCAGGTAACTAACCCAACTACCTACACATAGCGCAGACACACAAAAAGCAACGAGACCTGCCAAGCCCATGCAGCTCTTCGGCACGATACACCAGCGATCACCCCATACAACCCCAAGCCCCAGACAGGCGCCTACAGAATACGGAGTACGGAGTACGGAGTACCGGAGAGATTGGCTCGGAGCCCACCTACCGAATGCTTTCAAGTTCTAACTCGTACCCTTAGCGCAGCATGCATATATTAGTATACGAGCATAAAGAAATGATGCCAATCACACCTTGACAATGAAACACGTCTTCCGAGCCAATCTCTTTGCCAAAGTGACTAATACCAAAGTAGAAAGAAAAGTGAGTAATCCACACTTTCCTCCCCGAGGGCCCTCGACACCCCCCACATCGGTGCGCACGGGATCACGATGCGCCCTTGCGCCTCTTAGCGCCTACAGTTAGCGTCTGCGATGGAATCAGGCAAGCGTCTAGAACGGTGTCGGTTCTTTAGCGAGGGATATGCGACCTTTTCTGCTTGTTTTTTTTATGGGTCCTTACTGTTGACCGGGGTACATGGTCCTTTGCACTACTGTAGGTCCTGGTCCTGGGGTTATTTGCTAGGGCTTTACGGTCTCACTGATTTCTCGATTGAGGGCTAGTTGCGTGGGGGATGTGCAATCATAATACCTATTGGTTTACGCCATCCTCGATTTGGTAGCGGACTCAGATACGGGGCTATTGACTTATCGTGCAATATCGGCCATGATTCACACAACTTCAGACTACAAGTACAGACTTCTCGGCGATATCGGAATTCAAAGTTACATTGAAGTGTACACAATCGAAGCTTTGCAGAATGTCACCTCTGGTATGTCCTGCAGCTCAGGAATTTGTTTGCCCCCTTTACATCTCCAGAATGAGGGGGTACTACCATATGGACTGCACAATGCAGGCTACGACTCGCGTTTTGTCTACTCCCTACGAGTAATCCATGCATTGATCGACCTGCCTTACCCCTTCTGTGGTCTACTCTAGCTACCCTGGTCTCAGAAACCTCATTAAGCTACGAGTTCCTCGGGTTTTCCGCTTCCCCTGTCCGACAATACCCGGCCAAGGGATACACAAATCAAGTAAGGAAGGGAAAAAGAAAGCGGATCTACCCCTGAAAGTGTGTACATTGCACACTTTAGCCTGTATACACACACCATGACGTGCATCCCCAGAACGGAGTCCAACCAGGCATGGAATAGGGATTGCCGATCGGGTATCAAACAAAATATCAAGCATGGGGGGACAGCAGCGCGACCGAGCCAGTCATACGGCGAGGAAGAAGTCAAAGTGCAGAAAACCGCAGATCAACGCGGGAACTCTAGTGTGGGTGATTTGGAAGAGATACGAAGTCCAGTGGTACAGAGGACAGGGTTCCAGGCCTCACTTACCTTTTAGGCCTGGTACCCCCCGATACACTCAAAAAGACAGAGCTAACTCAGACGAGAGCAAAGTCAAAGTCCCAAAACAGTGCAGTGCGGTCGATCAGACGGCCGAAGCCGCAAATGACTTCATTTAGCTCCACTCGTGAGCCAAAATCTTGATTTTTCAATGGAGCCGAAAGACCAGGCTTATCCCGAACGAGTGAGCCAGACGATCGAGATCGACTCTAGATTCGTTTCACAGATTACTCGCGGGATTAACTGGCGCTACGTGAAACAGTCATTAATTTCGTGCTGGTAGCACGTCTGAGTAGATGGCTCGATTCTGTCAGAATACTCTGATGCGATCTAGATTGAGCGATTAGGCGCTGAAGGTCCTTTTTTTTCTTTTCCTGAAGTAGTGATCAATTATTGTTCCATTTCCTGATTTTTTGGCTCTCGCAACCACGGGTAGCTAGCTGTGATCTGCGCCCTAGTGGTATTAAGCGGCTACAGATGTATGACTTTAATAGCCCATGATGTTATCTTTGTACGCTTGTCCCCGGTCCCCGGCGCTTATTACAAAAAAAAAGGCACTGTGCAGATTTCTGAATCCACTACCCAGGTGGCTTGTTCGATATCGCGTGTCGCGGGAGACTTAGCTGCCGTGGCCCTGTGCGAGGACGGAGTACATCATACAAGTATATTGCGAATATGACATGTTATACCTTAGCCCGACCGTTACGATTAACGGTAACCCCCTAGCTTAGATTCATACTCGTACTTAATGTACACTCGATAATGTACCAGG